TCTATGAATAATACATATATTTGGAATCCGAAGTAAAACCAGCCATCGATCAACACATTCTTTGTAAGACTGGTTTGCATGCTGATCTACATTTCTCAATCTCTGCAGGTGAACGAGGCTCAGAAAGGTGTGTCTATCACGTGGACTGGCAGAGGTCTTAAAAAGGCGCTGGAATCTGAGTTTGAGAAAGTCATTTGTCAAACTACCAGTGAAACTTTGACCAAACAGAAGCAATCATCAATCATGTTTTCTAATTTATCGGCATTGAGGTGGAAACTGGCCACTATGGTAGCAGCCTGGATCCCTGTTGTACAGGACGCTGGTTAGGTCGATCAATCCAACGATGGAAGCAATACAACGTGCATGCGACAGGATGCACAAACAATGTTGGTTGATTTTACTGCAGCAACTTACTTCGATAATCAATGCAATGAATTGTGCTGAATGTCGCAGTGGAACCTGAAATCTCTAGCCTAGCATTTTGCTTTTCGAGCTGTGGAATCAGTAACAATTTTGACCTTGGCATCCCCGTGGGAAAAAAAAAAACATCTCAGTCCGTTGGTGTTGAACTGACGAGTTGATATGATATAGCAAAATCAAAATTGATCAATAATATATTGTAATCCAAATATACTACAGCCCAAGTTTGATATCACTGACGGCACTTCACCACTGAATCCTGCAAATTGAGCAGCCAGAGATAGTCAATGTGGCGTTCCTGAGTTCGGAGCTCAAAATCTCAAGGTGAGCACCATATGCTTTAGGATCCCGTTTTTGGTGGCCATGGCAATGGGGAAGAACGGTGGTTGGATGAAATCACCGCTTGCACTTTCCTCACGATGTACATATATGATGTTGGTTCTTGGAGCACCACTACTGATGTTACTTGATGCAATTTGGAGAAAATTGATCAATATCAATTTTGTAAAAAATCAACAGAGCTGAGTACATGTTCACCACCTTTGCCAGAACACATTGATGAGTGGCCAAGGATCCATGCAGCAGATTATGTGGCGCAAGTCACAGAGCTTGGAAGTGCCAGCTCCCAGCGTGCTTCATCCTCAGCTGCCCATGCATTGTAGCAGATTAGAATGTTAAAATGTTATATGTTCTTCATGTTGACCGGACTTCCAAATGTTGACAATGATGACAATCATGCATTACTTTATTAATCAAATATGTTTCTTCTGATTTGTATGGCTCTTAGGATATCCTCGCCTTCGATGTCTTCAGTGGCAAGGGTGCAATTTGCCGGGCATTCCGTAAGAAACTCAGCAACAACTTCGTACATCTTCGTACTATAGGCTATACTTGAACTTGATATACCAACGAGATCGAGCCAGGCAAGAACTCATAAATCAAGATCCAGTCAAAGCTTACTTGGTGAGTGCTAGTGTTCGAGACTCTTGGTTTTCTTCCGGTACTAACTCCTGTATATTATTCAGTTACTCAGGTGAGGCAAAGATGGCGGCGTCGCTGCCTCAAAAATGCATACATGATAAATATAGAATTGCAGCACCCAAGGAAAGTCTTCTGAACATTGATCCAATCAGAATTATTGTAAGTAACATTATGCATTCGTTGATTTACATTGTAACATGCATGCACTCGAGCCCCCAAGGTTGTCATATGACATGGAACAGCGTCCTGTGGACAACGACATATTAACAGAGTTTGGGGCCCAGCACAGCCAGTAATTTCAAGTGCTGGTTTGGTGAAACTGGTCTAGATCGATTTATTACCATCCTATCATACCAGTTAACATCGACCAAGTCTGTATGCACATGCAACATCCATAATCCATGCATGTTGGTTATTACCTATTATTATCTGTTTGCCTGAGGCATGGATTTCTCCGGCTCATACAAGGATGCTTGAGACTTGTACCAGATTCTGCCCTACATGCTGGACCACCTTGCAGTTCATGGATATGGCTGAATAGAGGCACCAGTGGCAGATCAGTGAACAAGGTTATGGGAGATACCAGCCAACCTTCAGTACTTGAGAGCAACATGAACCTAGCTTGCATTTAAAAAAAAAATGCAAATTCCAATCAATTTCAATATTTGATCAAGATGAATGAACTGAAACTGAGGATCATGAGTCGCTTTGCTCTTATCAGCATTCTTTGCATTTGTCGATGCGTGCATGTCACCATAGAGCAGCCCCGGTCGTCGATTATGAAGCATGTGAAATATTTCAAATTCATTGCCCGGACTCTTGGGCGACGTGTGGCCTGGAAGTTGGTGAACTAGCTGGAATCTCAGTCGTGTTCATACCAATCAAGTAAAACAGAGATGGAAGTGAATCAACATTTATCACCACCATATAATTGTAGCTGTCAATTTAATCAGCATGTGCCATGCTGCCAAGCATCTTTCGATGTATGCACTAAGTTGGATGGGCAGTTGGGGCCATCAACGCCCTAAGCCATCGACCGCTTTTGGAACTGCGTTCAAATCTCAGGTGGTTGTTTTTTTCAGTATATTGAGTGCTCACGAATGCGCACATTCCCATTCTGATATAACATATGTTCTCAATGTCGATCAATATAATTAATGAAGATTCAAAATCAACATAAATTATTCGATATTATTTTATAATATATATTATAACCAAATAAGCAAACCAATGTTGATCCATTATTATTGTGTTCATTCTTGTTACATTGATCTCTGAGTCCATACGTCAATGGTCTCTACAAGAAGCTCTCCCGAAGGAAGCAGATGAAGATGAAAAAGAAGGCCAACAAGAAGGGATCAATTGTGATCCATTACAAAGGTAAAGATGGCAAATCGAAAGTGTCAAATACTTAGACTTGTCGAATATGCAACATTGGCAGTCCAGACGTTCGGGACAGGTTACTTTTTGTGTCTGTCAACCTACCTAGGCGAGGTGGCCCTAAATTGAAGGAGTCCCAAGTATATCCTGACCGATATGCTCGTCGATATCTCAAGCTACACTGTAAGTGGGTCGCTGCTGGGACAAATAACTTACTGTTTAAGAATGTTTCCAGTAACCGGTATGTACATGTGCAATTCAACATTATGAATATTATTATTATATTATAAAGGGGTTGACGCCCAGGATCAACATGTTGGACAGCTTCACCGAGATCTATATGGTGATGGCACGAGCACACCAACACCTTTGGAGATTTCCACAGCCATGAAAAAGGCCATTGAATCATTCTAGAATATTTAACAACATGAAACGATCATTGTCATATAAACTAAACAAATATATTAATTAATATATAGTTCGTTATCGAAACAGTGTTGCATTGCATTTCCCGGTTGCCCCCCGTCTTTTTTACCCAGAAGCTGTCACTCCAGGCAAAGACCCTGGGTTGGTGGAAGGCCGCCAAACTTGAACAACTCAAGGTGTTCCTGCAACACGAGCGGGACACAGGGCGCTTTTGTCCGACGTTTGCTGAGGGGCTGGACTAAAGGAGCCTAGCCCACTACTTGGAATTTCACACGTACATTTTGACCACAAAATTTGTATTGTGGATGAAATTAATTATAAATCAAGTACCAAAAATGGTGATCCCTCTATTTGTCAAATTATGGTTCATTCTCTAATTTATAATTGGCTTATATGCCATGAAATTTGTCAAACATTGCTCTATAACATTTGTTATGAAATGAACTATAGTGTTTATAACATTTGTTATGGGACAAACATTATCATTTATAACATTTGTTATAAGATCCCAGGTTCATATGCTGAATCTATAACATTTGTTATGAGACAAAGTTTCACTATTGCTTTATAACATGTGTCAAAAGATCCCAGATCATAAGCTGAGTTTATGACATTTGTTTGAGACAAATAACATATTTTTATGATTTATAACATTTGTTATAGGATTCCAGGTTCATATACTGAATTTATAACATTTGTTATAGAATTCAAACCCAAAAACCAATGATCCAAAATGTATGTGTGCCTTCCGGCAATTGAGACTGCAGGTTTGACCAAACCATTTCAGAACGAAAAAAACAGGAACTGATCATTGTTGGAGCGTGGTCCGGCCGTGGTCCGGCCGTGGTACGGCCGAACTTTGGCGTGGTAAGGGTATTCTTTGCCGTGGAACGGCTAAACTTTGCCGTGGTCCCAGGTACCCCCAAAATCGCCCAAAATGATAACAAAATGAACTTGGGTAACATGTTGTCAAATAAAAATATATATGAGTGCATATTGTGGAAATCATATCGTGCAATTGCAAGATGAGAAAGAAACTACGTAATACAACTTATAAACAGCACTAGTTTGCATGCAGCTCTTGGCATCTGATGATCTAAAATGTAATCCTGTCATCTTTGCGCTGATAGGGCTCATGTTGATATGCAGTCGGCACATCATTGATCCAAATTGCACAATCGCCTAACCACATGAAACATAAACTACTTTCATGAACAGTGGTGACATTGCAGTTTTTAAAGTGTCGTCTTTTTTTGTAGCCATGGACCCAGCTGCACAGTTCCTGGCCCATGCCAAAGCTCGTTCGCAGCGATTGATTCCAGAAGAAGTCCATCCAGCTTCGGTGCCTGGGAAGACGGCGCCAATGTCCAGAGGCACCAAATGACACATAGATTCAGATTTATATATGATTGCATATTTTGCATGCACACATCACATTCTAATATCGAAAAAAAGTGCATGAAATCAATATTGATCAATTAATATGGGTGTCCTGCGTGCATGAAATCTCACACAACAAATCAAATCATCAAGCACATATTCTACATTTAATGGTACGTGTTTGCATTTTTTTATTACTACCTGGTGGTTTGCCACCCCAAAAAAAAGGCGCCCACAAGTATTTATAAATTTATTCATAATGGCCTATTTCCTATAGTTTTCCTACATATTTGGTTGGTTCCTGATGTCTTTTTTTGGTGTTCCAAACCTATGTTTCATCGATCTTTATTTTATGATAAGTCATCCCGCATGCAGGCAAAAAAGTTGGAACAACGCCGGGGAGTCATGAGGAGATGCCAAGTCCAGCCACTACGGTCGCTGCAGATGATGCAGAAGCTGCTGAGATGGCTAGATTAAAGTATCAGGCTCAAAGAATGCAGACACCAGAAGAAAGGATTCGTAGGATGCCAGCAACACCAGCTTTGCCCCGACGGGTCCAATCTCAGGAGATCTTGCGTGCACAGTCTGTGGCATCAACTGCTTTGGACACACCAGCACCAGTTCAAGAGGCAACAGCTGCAAAGACATGCAAACAAACTAAGAAGATTGGCAAGACAAAGCCAGGGAAGAAAGGAAAGAAACCAGTCAAAAAAACGCGCAAGACCAAGACAGTAAAGAAACTCAGCAAAAGCAAGAAAGGCAAAGCAGCTACAGCAAAGAAGCCAACAGCAAAGAAGCCAACAGCACCACCAGCACCCGACACAAATGCAAATGTTGAGACCGTTCCAACATTGACACCTCACATGGCCGAACCTGTGTCTCCAGGTGCTGCAGCCCTTCCTTCCCCTGCTCAGTCTCCAGCAACAGATGCACGCCTTGCACATGCCATGACCCAGTTGTATGTGACTAGCCCAGATGCCCCGCCTGAGTCCTCTACTCCTCATGATGCCCTTGCACCCACAGAACTTGTCGAAGTGAAAGCTGAACATGATAAACCTGATGAGACGCAAGATGTGCCCAGAGCTGAACAAGATGCGTACAGCCCTCCACAAGATGCGTCCACCCCTCAACCTGAATCTGTGGCCAGTCTTTTGAACCGTGCCCAAACAACAGACCTCACTGCACTTCAGGCATTGGTGACTGAAAGTGTCAGGAGTGCAATTGCAAGCCCCAGTGAATCACATGGCAATGCACCACCAAACAACAATGCAGCAGCAGCACCAAGAGCAACAGCAGCATCAGCAAGCGATGCCACAGCAGTGGCTGATCTTCCGAGGGTGCGTACCCGCAACAAGGAGATGCACAATCGGCGCATGAGATTTTACCGAACTCTTGAGAGTCACTTGGATTAAAATTGTGTTAGTGCACAAACTCTCCAAGTATCGAATCATGCCAGCACAGCAAACCAGTGCGCACATATAAGATCAAGCAAATCATGTAGTACTTGTGTACACTAGTATACATATCGATTGATATATGCAAATTGCAAACGCCTGCGATTTAGATACTATAGATTCTATGGACGTCCAGTCCAGGTCCAAACTCACCTCCGGAGATTTTGAAGCTGGCTGAGAATGCTCGAAATGGATCAGGACTGACCAATCAAACTCAAAAACACTTATTACATTAGCAAAAAAAGACCTGATAGTACGATGATGGTACCAACATCACATGCATTTTCATATCTATCGATCTATAATGTACATGTAGACAAGTTGATCTAGGATGATGATGCAGTCTTGTGTCGCTTTCCTGTGGCTAAGCATTGCCGATTTAGGCAAACAAGAAAAAATGATTTATCCAACATCATGATATAACATAAAATCTTTAAAAAATGAATCACAATGTTTATGTTCCGGAATTCCTTTGATTATTTAATGCATAAGATCGAACACTTACACACTCGACTTGAATTGCAGGAGGAAAGAAAACTGACAAACTAGCTGTCTTATTTGAAGAATGGATGAAGTGCAATGAAGATTGGAGGAGCTCCAACTTTGTGGTGAGGATGAGAGAGACTACTGAGGAATCACAAAGAGGAGGTCGTCGTTGGATGACTCAGGCAGACATCCTAGCAAAGTACCAAAACGGCAGATCCTATGAAGATGCCAGGGATATTGCTCAGGAGATTGTGAACGGAAAGGAGTCTTGCCCACACATGAAGGTGCACCATATTCGACCTCATCCCAATTGCCCGACTCGCCAAGATATGCGGCTATTCTTGGTTTGGGACGAGGAATATGAGACCCACAAAAAAGACACTGTGGTAGAATCACTTTTCGACTGCAGTGATGGAGGTGATAAGAAAAAAGACAAGAAAACTGCAAAGAACAAAAGGAAACGTCAGTCGTCGTCATCTTCTTCTTCGAGTGATTCATCGAGCAGTAAGTCCAGCAGTTCATCACACCGTGGTCCTGGTCGTGGTCCTGGTCGAGGTCGCAAGAAGAATGGCAAGAAGGCTTCCAAGACTGTTGCCAAGAACAAGAATGGCAGCAAGGCTGGCAAGGCCAAGACAGTGAAGGCCTCTTCTGATGGTTCTGATGATGAGGTTGATGTGACCCCAGCAGGAACACCATCAGAACCAGGCAAAATGACAAAAGCTGAAGAGAGGAAACTGAAGAAGGATGCAGAGAAGAAACGAAAGCAGGAAGAGCGAGAGGCAGAGAGAGAGATCAAGCGGATCAAGGCTGAAGAGAAGAAACAAGAGACAAAGGAAAAGAACAAGAAGCGCAGTGGACTGAAGAAGGCAAGGAATTTCGATGTGTAAATGTTTTATTAATTAACATATATGTTTTGCAATTGCAAAATGCATCGTATAAACAAGAAATGTTGATTGTATTTGATTCTGTGATAGATCATCCTGACTGATGAGTCAAGTAACTCCATAAATATGGTTGCTTTCTCACTGCTAAATGCACTAGCACCAGAAGTTGAAGTGAAACTAATCAAAACCCTCTGAACACACCATGTAGGGGATTTTGTTTGCTTATCACACCTTGTCTCATATCAGGCTGTGACCATCTTGGATGCATGCATCTCTGACACTGTCCGACGAGAAGCAGCTGCAAACACCCTGTCACTTGGCTTGACTACAAGGCCACACATAACCTTCCTATGTAATATCTTCTGGTCCTTTAGTATGAAAAATGAGAACGATGGGATACATCCAATTTAATTACTTCCGAAATGTATTAATTCAGAAAAAATATCACCATTGTGGTAATTGAATGTAATTGATCCAGCCAAGTTGCACCCTTCGTGCCAGGAACGATCCCAATCTCAGAGCATCTCTTCTTGCAGAAGTACGTGCCCAAAGTGCATCCTTGAAGGCACTGCGGCTGCAACTTCAAGATGTTTTGGACAGAGATCAGGCCCCGGGATGTGGGTGTCAACATTTGATTCAAGTTGTGTTTTTTTCAAATCTGTACGACACGAGCAATGTGTTTTTCAATGAGGTTTCGTCAAACCCTGAAACAGAAACACATGTCGATTGTGAATCGAAGATTAATCTGCTGAAGTTCAAATTATTTCAGACCCTTATTTGTGTTGCAATTAACCTGGTGATATTTATTTGCCTGAATTGTTTCCTTTGGTGAGTAAATTAATATATGTAACATGAATAATACATAAGTTATTTTTATGGATGCCGCAATAACAACTACACAATCTGATATTTATATGATTGGAAAGGTACATTGACAACATCTAAACCACAATTGCACCGAATATTCAGAAAATGAAAATTACAAATAATCTGAACTCAATTCAACTATATATATTATATTATATCTATAACGTTGTTATGATCAAAAAATACCAAGCACATCCTTTCCCGTGCAGGTGGATCAGATGGAAGCTTTGGCAGCCACTGCCAAAAAGAAAACTGATGAGTACAATGAGCGCAAGAAACTGATGCAGTAAGTAATCCCGGGTTTGAGCCTTATTTTGATGGCCTTTCGATGCCAGGTTACAATGGATTGAATCTGGATAGATGTCCTTGGATTCAGTGATGTGATCCATCATTGGTCGGTCATGCGCATTCATGCATGTATAAATTTTCGATTGGAAGGGACATACCAGAGCATCCATGAAATCTTTCTTGTTCCAAGTCCCACTGGGGTCAGCAGTAGACCCAGGGGCTGTCTATCTCCAGGTGTGAAAGTATGGCGCAATATGGCGCACTACCCCCTTTGCAATCTTTGGTAGTGCATATGCCTTAAACCTTCAGATGGGAAGCCACCCCGAAAATTAAAGAACATCATTCAGACTCTATTGTTGGTTGTATTTCTTATTCAAAACACCTTGCATTTATCATCAACAAAGATTGCATTCGTTCATTGGAATTTGATATCATAAATGGGGTGCAAATGGGTTGGAGGCCGGCTTATGTCTGATCAATTGACAAAGCATTGGGATAGCTGCCGCAAGCTTTGCTGAGATCATGTGTGTGTGTGACTTCACACATGCGTGCAAAAGAAAAAAAATGTGACTTGTTTGAGCTTGTGGTGTCCTAGTGATTGATTGAAACCGGGTAGCATGCATTATATATATATGATACCGTATGGTATTGTTTCCCCATGATGGCAATTTAGCATCATATCACATCAATCAGGCAATATAAGATATTAGAGTTGGTTAGTTGGTGATTCAGTGCAGTAATAATAATGATAATTATATTTGATATTGGATCGATAAAATATATCAATCTGATGTCCCCTCCGCAGGTGATGGTCAAGCATGGGTTGCCCAAGGTGCAATTGAAGATGTGTCGTCGGCTGTTCCTTGGCTGACAAGCCGGTGCATTTTTACGGAGAGATCATATGATTATTGGATTCGGTACTGCAAAAATATGATGAGCACTAGCCGATCGACAAATTAACCCAACAGATTTTGAGGTGTTAAAATCTTATATGTGGTGGCTTTTTGTGATAGCTTAGGTTTCCAGTATCACGAGGGCCGTGAGGAATGTCCGGAATCACGTGGCAGTTCCTTGTCTCCCATTAGCTAGTTGACTGATGGCAGGTATAGGTATATTTCTTACAACAAAACCATGGATATATAGTGTACAACATATTATATAATTTTACTCATTTGAGTAGCTTGTTTCTGAAAAAAACATATTATGTTCAACTTGGAAACTTGAAGCCTATCTCCCGAGGAATCGGGTACTTCAGCAGCTCATCCATGGAGCCGTCGCATGGGTAATTACTCTGGTCGCAACACCACCCGTGACTTTTGGAGATTTTGCAGAATCCCAGTGGTTTCTCGCTGGGAACAATCATGAACAAACTATTTTATATTTTTTGTTGGGATGTCTTTGGCGACATTAACAGATGGAGGTATGGTTGGTTCCCATCACATGTGAATGCATGCAAACACATATTGCAATTCAGGACTTATTATATGAAATCAAAAATAGTCCAGTAATTTGTTGATTGATGATTGTGTTGATGGTTTTGTTAACTTAGGCAAGTGCAAAGGTCAAAGCGCCTCTGAAGTGCCAGAAAAATCGAAAGGGATATGAGATACATGATATCGAAATTCTGGATCCTGTATCAATTGTGCGATATTTGTTCAACGAAATTGGCTTGACCATCAGTGAAGAGACTGTAACACAATATTGGGCTCACTATCGTGAAGAAGTCCAAGCTGCTTGGGCCATCAGTCATCCAGCCAAATCAAACAGCATTCCGATTGGTCTGTATGGAGATGCTTGTAAAATACGACAAGGTGAGAAAATGATTGGATTCTTCATGAATCTACCATTGTTCCGACCCAAGAGCATCAGATGTTCTCGGTATTTACTATGTGCAGTCCAAGAAGAACTTATGTACAAAAGGATCACCATGGATACGATCTGGCGCTACATTGTGTGGCGGGTCAACCTTCTTCTTGATGGCAAGTATCCAGAGACAGACATCAATGGAGACTTGCTTCAGGGTCCTGAGTTGCACTGTGCAGGTCAGGAAATCGTTCCTGGCAAAACCTTTGCCCTTTCGGAACTACGTGGAGACTGGGTGTGGTTCAAAGATTGTTTTTCTTTCAAATCGTCATGGAAAGGAGGTACAAAGTATCCTGTGTGTTTCAGATGCCAAGCTCGTGCAATTGAGCCGTACTTGTACTACAAAGTGCAAAGGGATTCAGCTGTATGGACAACTGAATATGATCTGGCCGGGTTCTTGGTGGATCAAATGCCACAACAACCAAGTTACTGAGTTATAATTCATACTTTTGTTTTTTGTTTTTAAAACTAATCCTTCTGGGAAGACTGGGTTAGTGCCTAACACTTGAACAACATAGCAAACAATTGATTCCCAGTATTCCCCAAAGATGTAAAATGAATGATCAATTCTTTGGGTGTGATCTTAGGTCCGCTCATTGCTCTCAGAGGATTTCACCCGGAAGTCCTCAAGTGGTGCAGTATGCATGTGGTAAATCTGGGTTTGCTATATGGATCGAATGCCAGCCTTATGCCTCTTGTCTTTGAACTGTTTTGAGACATGTATCAACAAAATGATTTTGAGATATATCAATTCTAAACAATTTATAGTTGATTATGTAGATCTATAGATCGAATTCGAACAATTTTGATTGAAATATAGTTAGTTTGCATAATATATTATAAATTCGATAATATAATTTATGATTGACTTATTATTGTGCATACCCAGCATATCTCGCGCCAAGGGTCATGCTGTGCGACGACAAATTCTTTGAAGGTGCAACCTTCAAAGCGCAACTGGAGAATGCATATGATGATTTCAGAGCCTTTCTACGCTCCCGGAAAATCAACTGCTCACAGAAGATGTTCACCCCGAAACTTGCTACTTGGAATTAAAGCCATGTGTTTTCCCTACAACCACAACAGCAAACCAGATCCAGTAAAATTGAAATGATGCACCATATATGATAATTCATGCATAGTTAATGTCTGTGCTGACGAGGTGGTGAAAAAGGGTGGCCAACTGTATATGACTGGCAAAGCCTACAACAATCGATGCATTGCTGAGTGGCTCCACAATGTCACAGAACGGCATCGGAGGCAATCATCTGACCCAAGGGCGCCATTGGCTCACCTACTCATGAGCCTTTGCCCGTTCAAATTTTAGAACTTAAATTTTGTTCACCAAACAATTTTCGTGTGTTGTTCTGGCCTAATTTCTGGCTTGCTATTTTATGTACGATGTTTGTTTGCCATGATTTTCCAACAAAGGAATGGTATCACACGATATTTCGGAATTATGGAGCGATGTCCTCGTTTTTTGTCCCTGGCATTGCATTATTTGATTTGCGTGAGCTAGCATGTGATTAGTGTGTAGTCTTCCAAACATGCTTACAGCATTTGTAGCATAGAACACTTTCAGGAGTGCCTCATCTTTTCATTTCCCTGCTCTACTGCCTAGGTCCCCACAACAGGCGACAGCTCTTGACGAGGCTGGCATGACTTACATAGATGCTCATCTCAAACTTGCCCGGATGTCCTTTGCGAAACTCTGCAACAATTATATATGTTTGATTGATTTTTCTGTGCAGAAATTTGGAAGCATTTGTTAAGGGATATAATTTGCAGCAGTTATAGCAATGCAGTACTGCAATTATATGTTGCATATTTTTGTTTCATGCTCAGGATGGGGAAGGCACATTTCATCTTGCGTCCGAAGCTGCATGTGCCACGGCTGCAAACCATAGAAATCATTACCGTTAATCCAGAGAACTGAAATGTTGATTCATATTTTTTACTGGTGCACATCCATGCACATAAAATATTAAATGTGTTGTATGTATCATTCATTAACCACCATCAATGTGATGCAATCTACCAGGGTTGTAGTACATCATGTTTGTTTGTTTTTTTGTTGCGTCAACTTGAGCCACCATGCTGTCTCTTGAGGCCCTGGGTCATATCCTGAAAACTGCCAGGGAACACCGAACCTTGTGTTGAATTTATCATGTAGTGTTTGATGTCAACAATAATTTGGAGTACTCTCGAAGTAGTGATTCATTGCATTCATGATGCATGTTGTTTTTTTTACTTGGTTAATGCTTTACCATTTAACTTGGGGAAAAGAGAAAACTTTGCCCTGACCACGCTGACCAAAATTGTCAAAGTAGCAGATCAAACCAAGAATTTAACACTGCAGTTTGCATCAAAAATCATTTTGGTATATAGCATTTCGTGATGTGATGTTTTTTTGTTTTTTGTTGTTGTTGTTGCTTGTGTTGTACGGTGGTACGTGATGCATCATCTGCAAACTAAGGTGAAAACCCAAGGTATACCCACTGTTTCCATGACGAGGATGCCATGATGTGGTTGAAGCGTTTCTTAGATCAATTTGGGACACACATACACACACACACACTGACATCTGAGTTGGTAGCACTGTGTCAACTGCATGGTTTTTTTTTTTGTTTTGTTTTACCTTTTCATTTTTTTGGTTATAGTGTGTTTGAGCTATCAATCAATGATTGTTGAGGTATCACTTTGAATGGACATCAAAATCCTGCCAGACAACGTACTTGGTGCTTACGGCTGTCGAGACTGAGGACTGATATGTGGGTCACGACATTTGTTGAATTACACATGTGTGCATCACGCATGCATTGACACTAGATAGATCGAAGTTTGCCAAACAAATGGTAATTTATGTCAGTTTTTTTCTACTTTGACTGGTATTTCAAAGTGTTGCAACTTTGAAAGGATATGATTCTCAAACAACATTATTTATTTGTTTGAGACGCAGAGGATGCTTTCCATGAAATGGAAGATCAAGAAGTACCTTGGATGAAATCTAAAACGATGGCTCTGATCAGTTTAGCTATGTGGCCATGCCGCCCCTACCAAGGCTGAACCGTTCTTCACGCAACCGCGCATGAGAGAGAGAATAAAAAGAAACATCCTGTGGAGGGTGTGGAATTCAGAACCACCTACCAGGGAAAAAACAATCTTTCAAATTCTTCTGAGTATTGTTGTACTTTGGTTTGCCATATCATTATGATTTATCATGTTTGAGTTAGATTTTTGATAAGATTGAGATTGAGCGTGGTCAGCGTGGTCAGGCCGTGGTCAGGGGGGTAGTGGCAAAGTTTCGTCTTTAACCCAAAGGGGTGGCAAAGTATCGTCTTAAGACCTTCTGGGTATATATATATATATATATCTTGTGCCGGCCCAACTTAGTTTCATCCCATGCAACTTTCCTTCGTGGAGGTTTTACTTATCCTGCTCAGATGAGTCTTATTTTTGGGCCGGGCATGTCCAGCAAACGTCAAAACCAGGCAAGCCATGGAAAGCTGCCTGGTAGTGTCACCAATGTCTGTGAAAGCTTCCAGTCTCAGCAGGGCTAGGGTGGACCGTTGACCAGCACATGCTGCAATGAGACTCTCTTGGATTCATTCAGTCCAAGGATAGGGAGACAAAAAATCCAAGAAGGCAAAAAAAACAACCCTTGGATAAGTAAAGGGGAAGACTTTGGAAATGAACTGTGCAAGCGTGCCCATGCTAGAATGAACTGTAGCCAGAATATTAATTATCACGCAATCACCCATCCTCGTGAATATAATCTCTCAGCCAGCGCATCACAATGTACATACAAGTAATTGTCATAAGTAAAAGATGTGAAAGTATAATATATCATATTAATATATCATATCGCACACACATATATATATAATATTATTGTCAGGCGTTCTTCGACGTAGCTTTCCGTGCGCCCGCACATTGGCTGGAAGCTTCGCATCTTGACACGGTCATGTGCAACCTTGGAAACAAAAAGTATGAAAGAATGAACACGAAGGAAACCGAGTTATGTTGAATGAAGTCACAAAGCAATACGCATTGTTACCAGAGAGTCAAAGCTTGAGGTCTCCTGCAGCGTTGTTAAGCATCTGCTCTGCGACTTCGAGCCTTGGACAAAGCCAACAAACCTGGACAAAATCAACTGCCGAGCCACACCAAATCACACCAGGGCACCAGCTTTCCACGCTGCACTAGTGCTGCAATCAGAATGGAAGACAAAGCCTTCCAATTGAGATGATTGACATGTTGAAAACATACACCCAAACAGCGGCACATTAAATTTGAATATTTTTCGGAGTATATTCAAGATTATTCAAGAGCACGCAAGACTATGCAAGAATAAGACTTGCAAATCTTCGGATAGGCAAACTGATGGATAAACTATTATTTATGTATCGATATAATTATTTATGTCATCAAAATCTGATGGCCAACTTGATCGGGCAAAGAGATCAAAGAGTGTCAATTTCAGCCGACATGAGAATATCAGATTTCCAGTTTGCTGCCTCACCCGGATATGTTTCACCGGCAATGTCCAGCAAATCACGACAAAGAAGCAGAATTGTCCGAAACCTGTCAATCAACGAAACAAACACATAAGCAGCGCTTGAGGCTGGACATCGGGAGAATTCTTGCGCAAAGATTTCGTCATGCCCGTGCTGCTGGGCTCCCACGCTCTGTTGAGTCTTTGGTGGTGATACGGTAAAGCAGTATCTGCAACCACGGCTCCAGCTGCTGCCAAGGAAGACCCTTCACGGCTGCCTCACCTTACTTGAATGTCCCACGGAAAGTGGATGCCACAAATTTATGCAAATTTGCCCTGCTTCACCATGGAGGTACCAAAACTGCTTGACTTCATTGGCAATTGGACTCTTGACAAGGAACTCACAAACTAGCCACAATTATTCAGTCACTGGGTTGCCAGCGCAGGAGGTCGCACACTCCAGAGACGGACTTGCCTCATGATTATAGTCTCTTGAATCTCACTACTGTAAAATTGCAAAGGAGGTGCCGCACCAGTCTATCAACCTATGTAGAGTCAGGACACAACATGTCCCACCGTGTAGTGGTTCAAGTTGATTTCGCAGATCGTGCACATGCTTCTTCAAGTTCTTCTTTGAGAGCACTGGAACCTCCTGGCTTTTCAGAACTTTTCATGTGTTTTGAGCTTTTGAGTATTTCCAAGCGCAGCTACAATGCCCAGCGCAACCTAGTCCGTCCTTGTTGAAGACTCCAATTCTTTCAGGAAGTAGCGGAGAGAGCACATCTTGAAAAGAGCCTGGTGACTGTGCGGTTTTATGCTGTAGATTGCTGTAGTGCATAGAGTGAAATTCCGGCAGTCATGGCAGCCCAATGTGGAATCAGAGAGGCTGAACATTAACAGCTACGGCAGCTACAGGCCTAAGATTATTTTTGGCAAGAGCGGGCGGGAAACCGTTGGCATCACTAGATATCACTAGATATCGCTAGTATCACTGAAAAAGGGCACGCGATTTCAATCTCTATGTATAGTATTCTAGAGTATTCTATAGTTACAGTATATACTTCAACAGCTGGGCATCACACTGGCCCTGAAGCTTGCTGCACGTCTCGATCTGCTTCTTCTCAGCGCTGCCAGGATGACCTCGGGCAGCATATGCAGTTTGCATATATATATATTATTATATATATATATATATTATATATTATATTATATATATTATATTATATTATATTATATATATACACAGTATTATTCAGTCATACAGTATGTAGTTTGCAAGATTTTGCAAGGCCACCGAGGCCCAGGGCTTACAAGCTCGTGAAACTTCTTGAAGCCAAGGGCCAAACACCACACCGAGCAGTCCGAGCTACTTTGGCCTCACATGTCCAGAGATGTCCAGAGTCACCAGATGTGACAAGATGTGACAAGTGCAGCATAGTGCAGCCGTCTCTATAAATCTGAAGCCTGATGAGAGGGTGAGATGGAGCTTTGCATCCAAGGTCATGACTGTCAGTGAATGAGGGCCCGCAGCACTGCCTCCTAGGCAGGAAAAATGATATAAAATGATCTTTCAAGATCTACGAGAGCAATCCAGGATAATCCAGGTGATCCAATCTAAAACAGCGGCTTGAAGCCTTGGCAGTCACCTGCAGAGCGCCCTCCAGCAGGAAAGTGCCTCGGCCTTTCGGGAAACAAACAACAAACAAATACAAGAGCTTTAGTGCTTTAGCGTAATCAGGCAATTTCGACCAATATCACCTTTGACTGCCACGACTTCCGAGATTTCTCAAATAAACTCTTGCCCTTAGACGAAAATGAGCCTCCAAAATGGGCTCGGTGAGCGCTGAAGGACTTCCATAAGACATGGCTTCTCCGGTCAAGTCACAGCAAGTCGAACCGCGCTTCTGTTTTTCTCTACGGAATTGGTTAGTCTATGCTTGTCGAATGCATTGCATCTCCAGGTTCTATGAATGAACATGTAGCATAGGTATATAGACGTAACATGGCGTTCACATGCGTTTGTGCCAAAATTAATTTGAGCGTTCTTCGATCAGGGGCTGCGGCATGCTGCGGCACTTCATGCTAAATATGGTGGATGTGCATGGATGTGCAACAACTGCTACTGCACGCCACTGTGCCACTGCGCTGAGTACATACAGTCAAGATCAGTTCAAATCAGTTCAGATCAAGCAGTGGGATTAGCCCGACTGACCTTGACGGAGAGAGTCTCCCCATCCGATGCCCCATCCTCTCCTGAATGACGACTCGCTGGGTCTCTTGGATTTCAGATCAACAGGTTTCAAATTTCAAATGGTTTCAACTAGATCTTGGTCATGATTGGTGCCAGCCTTTGCCCTCAGCTTCATCAGGGCCCAGGCTTGCATTGGGCTCCTTACATGATCCAAAGATCATCCAAGCTCCACGTTGCCCCAAGCTCCAAACCGGAAAAGCACTGGAATGGCATCGCATCTCAAAATCCCTTGTGCCTTCGGCCAGCTGCAGGCTGCAGACCTGAAGTTTTTCATGCAGGCTGAAGACAGTGGCAGGAATCCCCACGAATATCTCATGCTATCAGACGCTATCGTACCCTATTATTGTACGCTATCATAAGCTATGTGCCATCGCAGCATGCTCCTACAGCTACAGTCTGTTCGTATGAGCTCCGAGACTGCCAGCTCTCATGCAAGCAATTAATCGCTAGCATGGGCTTAAATAACCAAGCCAGCGTGATCATAACTGATATGTCAGCAAAACTAGGACAACGCTACGAGTGGGTTGCATCTAGTCGTCGAGATGTTCTCTCAACTTTATTTGCCATTGAGCCAATTCAATTGAGGCTGTTGCGAAGCTGGGCAGCACTGCCTTATCAACATGGATGACAATCTGATGACAATGGTCTGCATATGTCTGCATTCTGTGGGCTGCCATGGGCTGCCATGGGCTGCCATGATCTGCCGAGGCACTTCTCAATTTTGAATAGCTGTCTCAGAATCTCTTCTGGTGACGGGCTGTCATCCAGTGGATCATCAAAGCTGCTTGCCTGCATTCGCCAAATATCTGCATCTCCCACCAAGATCCACCAAGGACAGTATGTTGATCACAACTGATGGTCGTGTGAAGTAGATGATTAGATGATGGTATAAATTTCATAGTGCTTACATGTTTTGACCGACGAGGAGGTGCAGGGAATCATATATACGATATATTTTATATACCCATAATCCATCTTACTCCCACTTTCTACATGAACTACTTGACTTTCATTGACTTTCTGCATCAACTTCTTGTGGGTGCGGCGTTCACATTCTTTGGCAAATTCTTTGGAGTGGGACGGTCCGGTCACGTCTGGCCTGTTTTACCTCTGGTTTTGGCTCAAGCTTTGGCTCTGGCTCGGGATGTGAGTTCCAACCACCCATGGCTCAGAGGACCCAACGGTATCCAAAGGTTGATTTGAAGCGCTTTACCAATCGTTGATGTGTCTGTGCAAATGGATTGCTTCAAACAGAACTCAAGTAGGGATCAGCTCTATTTCCTCACTGCATGATGGAAGAAGCACTGCTGTTGGGAATATTCAAATATTATATAATATTATTGTATGAGTTGTGAGGTGTGTTCAACTGGCCCATGCCAACATGTATGTGTGTGTGTGCATGTGTATTGTAAATATGCAACTTGTGAGGGATTAAAATCAACAAGCTGCGTCCAGGGCGCCGCCGCTTTCAAAGAGGCGGCTAATGCACAGCGAACTCCCTTGGGAAGCTTTGATCCAAATGGCAAGAACAAGGTAGCCGGTTGGTAGCTAGCAGCATCTTTCTGTACTGTATCAGCGCCCTATTGCCTTGGCCATGTTCACCCACGTTCCCCCAGTCACCCTTGACAATGATGGATGAGGATGGATAAGACATTTCAGCGACCACGAACTGGGACTCACCTGTGCCATTTGAGGAGGCTTTGCCCCTCGGAACTTGGCCACAAGGCTCAGCTTCAACCGGCTGAATCTCCAAGAGGCTGGACCCTCACAGCTGGCCTTGTGACCCTGAAGCAGCAGCACCCACAAAGCAAATACCCAAATGATCACTAGCCATGACGCCCCCAACAAAAAAAGTAGCACAACATTACCACAGTTTATATATATAATTGAAGATAGACTTATACAAACATCAACACTTTCTCTCCGGTACATCCTGTATTGATTCGATTGATTGCCAGGCATGCCTTTGTGGAACCTCCGGCTGTCACCGGAAAGGCAGGTGAGAGAAGTCCGTGGCGATGCCGAGTCTCACCTGACCTATCCGCGAGCCCGGGACAAGGCTCGGGCACAAAACTCGCATCTCTGCACAATGTGCCGTCCCAAGGCTTTGGGGCCGCACAACAGCACTGGAGAAATCAAAATGCAGAATGGCACCATGGCACCTTGTATATTATATGACACAGCTAGGAGTGTATTCTTTCAAAAATGCTCTTCCATCCGTCCATATGCACATTGTCTGAATACTGTCATACTACTCATTATATACTTGGGCCACATTTAAGTTCCTTCTTATATAGCATATGTGAATGTGTACATTATCATGATGACATACAGATACATTTGCTGCTTATGTCCATGATGATATGCTATCACATAATAGATAAAACAGATACTATACGTACAATGGCATATATATATATACGCATATATACATATAATAATATTATATATAATATATATATAATTATATAATATATATATAATTATATATATAGGTTCGATGTGCTACAACATATAATGCAATGTAAACGTAAACAATCAATAAATCATATGTTTATCATTTTTTAGCATTTTTTTCTAACACTATAATATGATGCATTGCCAAGAGATGAATATGCAGTACTATCATGTACTATCTGCCTGCTATATTGTCCACACATGTAGTTTGAACATATCCTCCACGGTGGACGTATGGAACATCAGGATAAATTTTCCAAGTCCCATTCTGCATCAACGTCTAATGTATTACATTGTGGCATCATTGCCCTAACCGATAGAGGTGGCCTTTACCAGCCGCCTGCGCTGCACATGTCACATGACACAGGTCGGAGACACATATAAACAAATAAAACAAAGCATTGCAACAGTGACTTACTATGACTTACTTCAGAAGTCTTCAGAAGCACTGAGAAGCACTGTAGGAACTGCTTCAAAATCTTCAAAGCAAAAGTTTTCAAAAGCATAATTTCTGCAAGTGACTTTCTTCATTTGAAAAAAATAGATATCCTTAGATGCTTCAGCTCCATGCAGCTCCGTGCAAGGCCTGCTGCAACTGCACCCAGAGGCCGTGCCTCGAGCTGAGTCTGCTCAGGTTCTGTGATGTTCTGTGGCAAATGGCTGGGATGCACACGCAGTGTGAGACGATGTCAGGCCGCTTCATTATATGATTCATTGTGATTTATGATGATTATATAATTTAATATGAGCTATTTCTTCTGCATAAATATGTCGACGTCAATCTTATCAATCACTATCAATCTATCTCCTCCCAGATTCTGTTGAACCTGAACCTCTTTGCCAAGATGCCACTGCTCGACCTTTGTAAGCCTCCTTGAGGGCACCATCCTTTGAACCTGCAAAGCTGCTGGACTGCTGCATTCTAGGCTCGGAACACAAGACATTCCATTCTCACTTACAGCATCTTGCAACATCCCTACAGATCCCTACAGCACATGGAAGGACATGGAAGGACCTTGTATCATGGCAACGTATGGAAACGACAAGGATGGGATGGGATGGTTCAAAGTTCCATGCCTTGAGGCGTGAACAATTCGAGGACTGTGGAGACGATGGAGGCTGAATCATAGCCTCAACAAGTTTCAGAAACTGCACATTGTTACTGGAGAAATATGCAGTATTGATTGCAACATTCATTGATACAGCCACTACAATTTAAACTCTTGTACATTGGCATCTTTCATGAGTCTGTTATTTGATGTTCCTGACAAGCTTCAACTTCAAATCATCTGCAACACCCTAGCTGCGTCTTCCGTCCCGCAAGCGCCCTGTGCCCTGTATGCAACGTGCCTTGATAGTAGGCTTGCTCCCAGGTGCCACCACAACCCTCTTTGTGCGTACCACATCGCGCAAATTTGGGCGTCAGCTCGCGTTCCAACAGCCAGGTTCCCAGGCGAAGGCCCAGGCCTGTTTGTAAATTTTGAGACCTTGGCACAACTTGATGCAGTCCATGCAAATTGCAAAGGCATGCAAAGGCTATGTCCCCATGAGTCCTTGAATGGGGCAGGGGCCCGGCAGGGGCCGGCAAAAAAACCGAAGCAGGATTCGGCAGTATGCCAGCCAAGAGGCTCAACAACCAGAACAAATTTGGACTTGCCGATGGTTTGCATCATATCCTTGGTCGACTTCGGACAGTAAACCCACCATCGTCATTGTCATTGTCATTGTCATTGTCACATCAAAATAATCATCATCACCACCATCCTCATCATCCTCCTCCTCCTCCTCATCATCATCATCGTCATAATCATCATCATCATCATCATAATCACCACACAACAAGAACCATCACCATCATCTATAACTATCCGTGTGTCTATGTGTCAGTCTGTCATCTGCTAGTTACAATATTTGTAAAAGTGGTTTTCAGATGTCTTCCGTCTGGCTTGCTTGTCCATCTCCCAAGCCTCCCGGCACACCAAGCTATCTGGACCACCGGCTATTCAGACTGATTACCGAGTGTCTTCATCCACAGCATTCACATGGCACTTGTTCACCAGCCCGACTGCCACGCCCATGCGCTGAAGCCGGTGCACCGCATCTAGAGATCGATACAACGCATCGCCGTAAGAGACGATGTAGCCGTCACATGTCGTATTTCCCCAAATCAAATCATCCTTTCCCAGCTGAAATTCATAGCCGTCCCCGAAAACAGCCCTTCCAGTGTCGTCCAAGATCTCAGGAACCTGAAGCAACCAGGGGAGACTAAACAGGGCTTGTACGAGTCCCCGATCATCCGCAGAAAGACCAAAAAGGTCTATGATCAAGAAACAAACAAAACCCTGAGCATCGTATGTGGGTCATGGAAAAGACGGTGCAAGTCAATCCGCACGCTGCGGCTGCTGACAGCCACAGCAACAAAGGAAAAAGCGGATAGGTACAGTGGAAAACCTACATGCAATAAATCTGGACAAAAGCATGCGTTCCGTTCTAAGCATCTGTATATGATGTCATATGATACCAAACTGACCTTCAAGGGCCAATGACAATAAACATGTACAAAAACGATCAAAACGTCATGTCCAAAGAGAGGAATGGAAGCCGTCTTTTATCATTCTTTTCGGTCGGCATCGGTCTGCCTTGGACCGCGTGGTGTAGATGAAGCGCAAGCCGCTCTGCCAAAAAACCGCCTCCACCACCTTTGAAGTCTGATGTACATCTGCAGGAAAGAAGAGCTGAGTGTCAGGGGCGTGTTTGCTCTTCAGCCCCAGGTCAGAAAAGAAGTTGTTCACTCCAAAATGGCAGGTGTTGTCCTCAAGCATCGCATGGCAACAGGTCATGCAAACTTCAGTTCGATTCAACAGAGTTATATGCTGAACTTGAATCCTAGCACCGCCTATCACAGTCAATCAAACGGTCTAATAATATATGTTTTAGTCAGATTACAAAGGGAAGCACATACGCACATGATCGTGAATATTTTACTACTTGCGTACTGTATCCACATAATATATAATACTTCACAGTACTTCATCACACTGCCTTCAGGATCTTAAGGGCAAGCTTCTGACATGTCGTCCACCCCGCTGTGGCTAAAATGGCACAAGACATTGCAGTGATTGAGACGTGCCATTGTTACCTGCAGAGTGACAGGAGTCTTGAGTCTTGAACATAGTGAATATATATATATATATATATCCTCACCTCTCATGAAGCAGATCGCAGTTTGCAAGGACAAAAGGGAAATATAAGATAGTATAAGGGTGTTCTGCTCCCAATAGATCAAAGAACAAGAGAACACAGGCAACTTGATTCCCGAAATCATAAAATTCTTTCTCTCTCTCTCTCTCTCACTCTCTCTCTCCATCACCATCTCCAAAGAAATCTTCAAATTGATGTTCTTCATCTCTTTGATCGCAACTTCATATTCATTGATTCAAGATGAATGGTGCTCGGCCATGCCAAGCAGGACAACAAGGAACGACAAGGCCAGATCGAATCGCCAATTTTGTGGTTAAAATGCGTTGAAGATCTCGAAATACTAGAATGTAGTGATAATGTGATAATGTGATAAACATCTGACTTGTCTTTAATGCAGGCTGTGTGATGCTATTTGTCTTGTTGATCTAGTAGGATCTAGAATCTAGAAGTTTTGTGAAAGCGTATGGCATCAAATACAAATCACTGCACATTCACTGCCCGGTTGGAGGCCTCACTGAGAATCATCTCCTGAAAAGCTGCGAAAGTGCCAAAAACGGCGCAACGACCACTGCAGCTGCTGAATCCAGCACATGCACTGAAGTTGCCGCGCTCCATGATTCCACCCTTCAAATAGATCTCCGGAAAAGTCTCACCCACCTGGATCTGTTCGGATCTATCCATCTTTTGTTGCAGAATTCCATCGATCAGACTGGTGGTCTTTGTCGTGCTCATCTTGTGTTACTACATGTAATTTTGATTGCTTGGGTATCCACAAACACACAGAAAGGTCATAAAAGATCGAGCAGCATCCCACGTCCCACGATGTCCCACGTTTGCATGTTTGATCGGCGGTTGTTGCATTGGTTGCATTTGCACGTTTTGCACCTTCTTCAGGCCGCAGGAGCCCTCCAAGTCATTGTCCACCACAAGAACTCGTTGGCGGCGCTCTTCTGAAGACAATTGCCCAAGAATCCTAGACACGGATTCCTTGGCACATCATGACACATCTCATGGATTCTCTTGGCACATCTTGGCACATCTCATTCCCACCCACTTGATGGGTGTACAAGTACATCGCATTCAACGAAGCAAACATCCCATCCCTGCCAGCGAGGCATCTGCACGTTTCATTCAATAATTGATGAACTGATGGAAACTAGAAACCCATAGAAATGCATGGAGACGTCTGAAAGAGCTGAGGAACGCCAAAGACTTGCCTGGGTGCTCCAAACTTGCCAGCCCCAAGGTAAGGCCTTGCTGTGCTGCATGGACAAATTTGGCTGTCCGATCAAATTTACACATGCGACTGTGTCCCTCTCTTTCTCTCTTTCCCTATCTCTTTCTCTGCATCGTTATCATTCTTTCTCTATCTCGTTCTGTCTATCTATCTGGAAATATGTATTTCTCTCTATCTATCTGTATTTCTATCTATCTATCTATCTATCTATCCATCTATCTATCTATCCAGCTATCTATCTATCTATCTATCCATCCATCCTTTCCATCCATCCATCCATCTAATCCAACCTTATCTAATCCAACTTGACCGAATCGAACCTTAACCAATTCAGCCCAATCTAATCCAACCTAATCTCATCCAACCTAATCTAACCCAATCTAATCTCACCCAACCTAGTCTAAACTAGTCATATACTCCAATCGAATCTAATGTAATCTATTTGTGCACACAAACGCACGCGCATGCAAACACCCTCGATACTATATTATACCATACAGGACCAAACCATACCTTACATAACACTTCGTTCCACTCCATCCCATCCCATTATCTTTCATTTACATACCTACAATGTATAGGCTAGGTACGGTATATTGTATATAATGTATATAGACATATGCATTGCACATCATGTTTCATCATGTTTCCATATATAGTATGAAGCCTTTGCATGTCAATGTAATTCAATGTACCTAGTTTCAGGATGCCAGGAAGGATGGTTTCTAGTTGATTCTGTTGTATGCATTCATGACTATTGAGGCCATCCTCTTTGCTTCCATGCCCTTGTTGGCCCAGCTGCTCATAGGGATCCTTGGTCTTTGGCACCTTCTGCAAGAGCTGCACGGCTTCAGAGTGGCCCCGTGACTGCAGGTACTGCACCTGAGACAATGAGGCTGGAGGTTGGGGGATGCTCTGATACCCAAACTCCCAGGAAAATCCTTGTGATTTCATATCGCAGGTGGATCGCGGTGAGTTAGAAATGTGTTCACTGCAGCTGCAACAGAGTTGCTTCCTTTCTCAGCCTTATCACTAAACGACATGTAAAAGAATGTTCTTGGCTCGGGCCGGGGGGTCCAGAGGTTTATATGAAGCATACTCCGCTTTACTTTATATACTTGACACACTCGCTGCCACCCAACGTGGGCAGCCGGAATTCGGTTTAGGCGCGGCGTGCTTCAGGGGCATAGCATCATGGCCTTCGTTCGAGCCCTCCAAATCAGCCACTCCTGCGCTTCACATGGAGGAGTTCTTGTTGGTCTTGTTGGATAAGCAAGAGACTTCCAGTGAGCTGCACTGACACTTTGCATCCCGAGACTACCAGTGGCTTGCCTGGTTCACACATGTTCACACCGGCCGTGCTGCCAACAAACACAGCATGATCATCGTGGAATCACGAAATATCACAAACATCATTTAATTAAGAAATGTATAGAACTTTAAGGTTTGGACAGGAGTCTGGAGCTTACTGCGCTATACTGCGCTTACTGTGACTCTGATCATGACAATCTGTTGAAGGAACTCCTGGGCACATGCTCCTTTTGATGACCACCGCATAGGGGCCACTGTGCAATACCTCAGTTGCAAAACGGATCAAAACGGGTGGTGCAAGGATGTGCAAAGCACCAGTCTTCAATCGCAGGATTTTCAGCGTCGTGCTCCAGGAGCACTTGGCTGGCAAAATTACAAACATTCTTCATGAAACATCCTCCCAAAACATCCCAAAACGAGATTCCAAAAGCCTTTCAAGCAAACATTGCAGATCTCGCTTCATTTCGACATATCAAACTGACATGGCTGTACAAAGCACCAAGGGACTGCCCGACGCATCGAAGCAAACAGGGCATCCAAGTCTTCACCGTTGACATCTTCCGTCGCAAGGCCATGCCCTTGGAGAGTTTGGCCTTGCCGAAGGTCGCAAATGTCATGAGTTGTCATGCACCAAGGCATGCCATGCCATATGTTGCCATCAATCAAGCAACATGCCAAGCAAATCCGTCCAAGCAGCAAATATCACCATAACATCACCATGATATCATCTAGATTCATCAAGTCGTGTCAGCAGGCGTACTGATCAAAGGGATTGCAAGCGGTTCTACCTGTTCCTGCCGTGGAAAACTGACCACATCTGACCACATGACACAGTTCGTCACAGCTCACAAGCTCCGCCTACATTGAAGCCTTTCATGTAGGATGAAGGGTGTCCAGCGATGGTGGTGTCATTGTCGTCAATCTTGGATCAGGCTGGCTGAAGGAGACTCAATGTTTTTTTTTGTGACTCAGGCTGGCTTGTAACAATTTTAGCAATTTGAAAATCACATGATTGTACCATATTATACCCAGCTTCCAAACAACCATCGGCCAATGAGAAAGCCATAGCAACTTTTATTCAGCGGAAGGTTGATAGTTTATAGCACATGTCTCTCGGGTGCGTTGATCATCCTTGATACACATTCAAGAAACCGAGAATCAATCACTGACTGCAGAGATCATGAAGAGAGCAAGACTGGAGAAACAAACAATCTGCACAAACAAACAAACTAACTAACAAACTAACCAATCCAAAACAGAACAAAAAAACAAAGAAAAAAAACAAACAAACAACATCTCAAAAGATACCACAAGCAAGCAAGCAAACACCATGCAAACACCTTTTCTATCCTTTTCTGGCCATGCTACGAACAGCTTCACCTCCAACTTCTGCGCGACTGCCATCCTGGCTGCCTCCGAAGTGTTGCCCTCCATCTGCGAGCCATCGGAGCTAAAGCAGCACACCGTGCGGTCTGCGACGCTGGACATATGGGGAGATGGTTCAGTTCAAATCCTTGACATTGGTTGGTTCGACATGCTTCGATCATGTATATTCTGTATATTCATACCGTAACAGTATGTAACAGTAATATTCTTTCCTGATCTTTCCTGTTGGTTTGAATCGCTTTGCTTGGGGGATCACAAACGCATCCTTTAATTATGAGAAGAAGAAGAAAAAGAAGAAGGACATGTAGAAGGTAACTAAGGTAGCGCTTGAATAATTGTGAACGCCTATCTTTGCGGTGAACATTGATTCCCTTTAATATTTACAAGGGGCGAGTACTGTGCTTGCGGTTGCCTCCTGGCACAGTCTAGTCGGTCCAATCTTGTTGCAGCAAATTATGCTTGCAAGGTAGGGCACTTGGAAGGGTTTCGGCTACCATCGGCTACCTAGATAGGGGTCTTAGTCTAGGTTGCGCACTTCTGGGCGTCCAGGTGACTACTCGCTCCTGCTATTACCGTTATTCTTTAATTTCAATGATTATAAGATATAGTAATAATCAGTAATAGGCATAGGATTCTTAATTGTGTAATCCTTACTTTCTTGGATTGCGGAGGCCACTCGCATTCACCGGCCTTGTTAGATCCTGTCAGCTTGTGTGACTTATCAAGGGATCCGACATTACCCACTGCGCACACATGAATTGCATGCCACGAGTGCAAATCAGTGGGGTCAGATTAACATTTTTGGTGGAGGCTGCCCTAAGACGAGGCTGCTCTAGGACCGCTGGGACGCATTTGCAAACAAGTATGTCAGATGTGAGATATTGTGAGATGCTGCACCTGTCAGCTGCTGCGTTTCGCCAGTTCATACCACGCCTGGCTCTGCCAAGGCCACACCGTTCACGTGGCCCCAGAGGTGCCCCAAACGACCTGAGCTAAACTTGACGCCCTCCGTGAGGCCAAGTTCAGGATGTCCAGGTAATGCCTTGTGACCCACTCGGTAGTCCAGCAGCCTTCATGGCAAGAGTGAAATCATGTGAAGTCTTATGAAATCATGTGTTAACTAGTGTAAACGTCCGCGGGGCTTGATGAGACTGTTGCAAACAGGATGACTATCTTGCTTCGTCCAAGGCGTTCAGCGAGGTAGATACATGTGTGTTCATTCGCTTCATCCTTTACCATTCCTAACACAAATGCACCAGAGATCACCTAAGATCACCCCGTCACCATCCGTCACCAAAGCACCTGTCAACGGCCATCTGGCCATGTAGGACTGCAAAGAGATATTGTGTCGCAACTCGATGACCAGCTTCATCAAAAAAGGTTGGCACCTTTGGACTTCGCTGCGCACAAAACCGAACACAAATTGCGCTTCCAACTGAGTAGGCAACAAATTTGGAAGGACAAGCTCTGAAGAAGGCATCAGCAAGGCACACCTGCAGCAAGGCACACCTGCGTGAATGTTGATTAATATTGTACTGTGAGACTGTTCCAAGATGTTTCAAGTTGCTTGCATGCCCACGCTATTCCACGCTGGCATGTCTGTGAACACAATACCATTCTCACATCATTAAAGGTTAATTAAAGAATATTAAAGATGCATTTATAGTATAATGATACTAAAGTGATCAGAATTACGCAAAGTGTTCCTCAGAATTGCAATATATTGCAACCCTGCAACATCCTGCAACCCTATCCCGTTGTCCTCCGGCATCATATCGAAAGCACCACCTGTGTGGCCGCCGTATCCAGACGCACCGCCCAAAGCTGTAAAGAAGACCAAGGCATCTGCGCAAAGTCACCAGGAATCACAGGAAGCCGAGGGTTGGAGCTTTGTTTCGTTTGAATGTCTCCGCGGTGATTTTGGCTGTGAGATGAGCAGAGTTTCCACATGTACAGACTACTACGATTAGAATATTGTTACCTCTAATATCTATATTGCAGTCTATTTTATGTAATATTATGTATATCTATATGTAGAGAGGCCATATAATTTATAGTTCTTGGCCACTTCCAAACAACCCCCAGCGGGTATTCATCCATGTTCTATCCTGGTGAACACGGTGTCCACATCTTTCAACTGCTTCTTCTGATGGATATATAAATATGGACAGTATCTAATGACATTGGGTGGAAGATTTTGAGAATATTTGAAAGTCACACCGAGCTTACTCAGTTCGAATGGGCGACATGGATCGACTGGGTATTTGTACACGGTTATTCTCACAGGGAAGGAATTTCACAGCAAACCTGCCACCCGTGTAATGCCATGCAACGCTGTGGGCACCTCTGCAAAGACTAATGTTTGTCTTCAAGGCATCACGATCTTTGTTGCTGAGGCTAGTGGTAGTCCAAGGGTCAATGGCAACCTGCAATGGCTTTGCTCAAATCGCACACTTCCAAGAAAGGCCAACAAATTGATTGGAGCCCCTCAGCTTCAGCCCACAATGCAAACTCAAACTTCGCAAAGACATGAACCCAAGATATCCCAAGCTACTTCAATACACTGAATACACTGAATACACTTGATTCAAAATGATTCAAGCTCCTCTGATGCTCTTGCCTTCTGGTATTGCGACAGGTCGATCGGAAAGGGAGCATGGCCGTGCCACGGCTGGCACCTCGGATTGACATTGTACATCATTGTACGCGTATGTACGCTCATCGATTGTGAATACGCGTGATAATATGTGATAATCACAATTGATTACATGATGGGCATCTGTGGGCCCGGGAGATCCTCTCCGCCCTTCGCCTGCTGCTTTTGCAAAAAGATGTCAGGAGCGGCCCAGACCAGCAATGCTACAAGATGCTAAAAGCGCAAGGAGAGACTTTTGGTGACTTATTGGATACTCTATTATCATTTATTAACCATGTACGCTCATTTTTTGACAATTTATGTACGACGCATTCCGAAGAATAATTGTTCAGCAGGACTAGTGATTGAGTAGTGTTGCATCTTGTAGCCTGTGTAGCTGGTCCCCACTTGCCATGTGGAAATGTTGACCTCGCAAGCTTTGGAGGAAAGGAATCTGAATCTGAGGCCTGGACTCGTCCAATTTGTGCGACATGTCCTTGTGCTTTGACATTGGCGCCGCCTTGGCATCAAGGCACTCCATCAGAAACCACTCAGTCGTTGAGACTACGGGGGATGCGGGCCGAAACGCTGCACAGTCAGAAAACATGAGAAAACATGAAAAACACATCAACGGTGGCACTACGTGATCAGGTAGCATTTGTGACAGTTGGTGGCCGCATCTAAGACCCCATTATGTAGATTTATGGTGTAATTACATTCTTACTTCACACAGTTTGAGCCTCAAGTCTTCTGAGTGATTTGGAAGCCTCTTGTCAGAGACAGGGCATTCAGATCTGTTGTTCAGTACAGCACGACCAACCCAGACAACAATCGCAGCCAATTTCTCCATGTGGTCGCCATGTAGCCGCAGCTGCTTTCCGCTGGGCGGAGGAGAAATGAGTTGTGTGTTCTGGTCTGAACGGCAATTGTCTCATAAGGTGTACACTTCACTGACGACGTATCATCCAATCCGGTGAGTGCAAAAAAAACGCATAGAATTAGAATACAATAATAGAAATGTACAAATATGATGGCCTGTAGCACCTCAAAGGGAGCTCTCAATTCCCCCATCCTTCCTGAATTCAAACGCGCACATACCGTGCAGGTCACACCCTCCTGGAAGACGTTGCAATTTCCAGACTCATTGGCTGACTCAATGGTCTCAATGGGCACCAAAACCACCGGATGTGATATGTTCAAATTGTTCATATGCACATGCAATATCATGTTTTTTTCCGACATTCTTATCATTCTTTATTTTGATATGAAGTAACTTTGTGAGTTTTTGTAATTATCATATGATATGTGTGTGTATGTGCTTATGTGTGCATATCTATTTCCCCTAGTCTCCAAGATATCCAAAAATGTTGCTTTCAACACTGCTGCAACTTTGAAGCCAGTCTGGTCACGTCCCACGAGGAAGGAGCAATTACGAAACGCTACAGATGAGGCTACATGAAGATCCTGCAAGTTTCTGCAGGCTTGGTGGTGAACCTTGCATCCAAACTGGCGAATACGCGATTCAGGGCAATTTTGTGCAATAAGTTGACATGTTGGTGAGATATCCAGAGACTAACTAGAAAACCATGGCCCATGGCCATCAAATCAAATCAAGTATGGACAAAACCTGCTGCAGTGCATTTTACATCACGATCAACAGCAATCTGGCTACCGACGCCGCTTCTGTCTCGCGGAGCCAGCGCCACGTTTGCCCTAGGATCCCTAGGTACTGATTGGTACTGCCCCAGAGGATTGCTGAGATCCTCTCAGCTTGCAGGCCCTTCACAGGGCCTGCAACAGAATTTCCCATGTGGCCAAATGATCCAAATGGCTTGGACTCAGAGTGACTAATGAGTCGAAAGTAGCCGCAAGCATCCAAAAACAATAACAAAATATTGATTGAAAATGATTGAAATTGTTTAATTAATTTAATCAATTGGTTGGCATAGCAATAACATGCCGTGCAGCATCAGGAACAACATGAAAAATCATGAAACATCCTGAGACATCATAAAACATAATGAAACATAAATCTGAGCAGAGCATATGGAAGGCCGAGCACCCTGGCCTCCTGCAGCAAAGCTGAAATCTCCCGCTGCTGTGTAGTTGCCTAAAGTCCGCGAGTTTTCTCAATTTATTCAGTTGCACTTCATGTGTAGCAAATGTGTGAGAAGCTTCTGGCCAAATCAGCTGACTTGTGACAGATCTTTAGGATCACAATGATCATTGTACTCATTGGATTCGACATGACTGAACGATGCTGAAGGGGTAGAATCTAGAAACATCTAGAAACAGAAGTTCGTAGCCGCATGTCGTATACGGCCATTTTTCCTCGCTTTCCAGCTCCAGTCAACTCAAATCGCCCATGACTCGATTTCCTCCGCCTCGCCAGCTTCATTGGGATCAATGAAGGGCTTCATGATGGTGTCGATCATCAGCTGGCCACAGAAAGGGCAATCCTCTGCAAGGATCCCGTCCAACTCATCTTCCACCTGACATCTTACCGGCATACCACTGGAGATTTAGTCATCTTTGCGGAATTCAATTTGTTTCAACCGATTTCAGTTGCAGTAGAAGAACTCGAAGCACTGAGCATCTCAACTCCCGGAATCATGATCCCTCCTGCTAGAATCCTCTCTACAACCTGGGAACATGATCCAAGCAAACCCTGATAAACCCTGCAAAAAACAGGCGGCTTCTGACTACAACCACCTCCGCCAGAGGAGAACCGGGTTTCGCTGCGGCCCCAGCTGCTGCCGCCTGATGTTGCAGCCTTGCTTCCTGGCGTGAGAAAGGATGAGATTGGCATCATGCAGTTGCTTCAGGCAACGGAGTCTGCGGTTGAGCACAGGGATGAGTACTTCCACGAGTGTTGGGGAACGGGTCATTCCATATTCGGAAAATATCCACGCTATTCCAGCGTCGGCATAGGTATATAGCTATGTATCATCTATGTATCATCTATGTATCATCTATGTATCATCTATGTATCATCTATGTATCATCTATGTATCATCTATGTATCATCTATGTATCATCTGATATTTTTATATGTTTGTGTGTGTATGTGTGCCTAAGGGGCCGTGCCGTTTCACTCTTCTGATAATTGTTTGGGGAGTCTTTGCGGCCCTCTTGAATCCTCCAGTTTGAAGAGGTGCTCACGGCATTTCTCTGAGAGCGTAGGGAGGATCAACGCACCTTGGCATCTGTAAAATTCAAGGATTCTATTGTGGTTTGTTGGTTTGAAATGCTAACAACGAGTTCAAAAATGATGAAACTGCCACATCGCTTGCAAAAATGCAGCTGATAGTCACAAGATTGTGTACTCTTAGGTCTTAGATGTTTTGATAGGGATTTTGCTGAGGCGCGAAGACATGCTTCATGGCAACAGTGAGTACAAGTAAAGGCGTAGAAGCGCTCGGTCATGGCGTCAGCGCCACAGATTTCACAGCACTGATCTGCCGCCACCACGATGCATCGCCTGAGGGGTGTTGTGAAGAGTTCCAAGGGCCCCAGGGCATCCAACTTAAGCAATTCTTAGATTCTTAAGCAATTCTTATTTCTTGAGCCTTATCATACTTAAGCCAGGAACGCAAGGAACCCCCGGGACTCAGCATGACAATCTCAAGAATATAATGGAAATAATGGAACTTAACGGAACGTGTCAAAGGGTGGTGAAATTGCTGCAACTCCCATGGAATTGACAGGTCCCCCTGAGAAATGGTTTTGCCGTGTGAGTAGGAAGCTGACTCTTCTGCTTTCTTGAGATCTTCTTTGAAAGCTGACAGTGCTCGGCGGTGATCATCCATTTCCTGCATGCAAAGCCGGTGCTTTGCTGACTGCGACTTTGTTGTGGAATGCTGTGGGCCTCCACGCTCTATTTATCTGGGCCAAAAAATGCACCGTGGCCTTTGCTGGCTAATCATTGCAGACTTGCAAATACTTCCTTGTAGAAATATGATGCGCTGTAAATCAGTCACCCAGTCTCCTGTCGCAGAGTGACAATCTGACCTCGGCCAGGCAAATGTAGGCAATCTTTCCTTGATCATAGTATGTCCCGTGGTGGGGGCCTCTCTTGCAAGCCAGTCATCGGATTTAGCGTATCGTCAAGATGTATATATATATATATATTCATTTTTCATTCACCCGCCATTGAGTCTCACTCGTGCGGCACATGCGCGACTAATTAGCCTGGCTTCGTCAACCCTGAAAATCGGGCAGAAATTTGCCTGACAGGGAGTCTTGAATAGCGCAGGCATGGAGAGCAGAGATCCACTCATGCTCATCAGCAGCCAATGGTAAAGCCGGAACAACACCGTGAGAATCAATCCGATGTTTGAGGCTGTATAAAGTGGCTAAAACCATGGCTCTGCACAGATGAGAAGGGTATTCTTTGGCCGACGCAGTCTTATATGATCCGTCGCCATGCTTTCCAGCAAGAGCATAGCACGGTCGTACAAGAGTCGAATCAGTGTTTTGCTCGAGAATTTTTTCAACCAAGGCAGGGGGCCCCATGTTGACAGCACGAAGCGTGGTGGGTTTGATCCCAAGACTTCCATATTTCCACTGCTCGATCTTGTGCTGCTTGGCCTCATGCAACGCCATAACCCAATCGGAATGGCAGTTCAGCCTCCAGACAGAAACTTTGTTGCTGTCTGAATTTTCAGTTGGATGCTCCATGAGTGAGCATGCCCCTGCCAAAACTAAAGAAACTTCAGCGATTAGGGAATGGAAAAGGAGCCTAGTGCCAATCAAAACCTGAAACATCTCACGGCAACTACGGTCAGCCAGCAACCACGGGAACTCAGAAGAGCGAAGTGGTCTGGGATGTCGTTGATCAGGGAGATCTATATGCCGAGCAGCGCTAAAAGTCTCACAAGGTGGTCCGGTTAAGCCTGCTGCAAAGAAGCGCTATGATGCGCAACATGCGATCATAGACTGGCCCACGATCTAAATTGCCGTGAACGGGATGGATGGCCGTGTCGACGGACAGGATGCGTACAATGAACCCAGGCAGCACTCCAGAGCAGCACTCAGTCCAAAGTGGCAATCACCTCTGCGTCGTCGGCCGCTGAAAAGGTGCAAGATCCAGAGCACGGGTGTACCGTCTTCATATGAGACAGGGACACGGTTACATGCTGGCTTTGAAAAAACTGGTGTCCTAAAATGTTCAAACCCAACCTTCTGAAACAAAATAGGATCAACCAATGGTTCAAGTTTTTCCTTGCCTCCAGCCTCTGCTTCAGCACTGAGAACAGGCTCACCAACAAAAGCTGTGTTCATACGATGTTGCCAGTCCAAGAGCCTACCAATTGGAAGTTCATCAAAGAGGTTGTGGATCTCTTGTTTCAGCCGTTGAAAAACGCTGGGCAAAAGATGATCGAAACGCCGAAAAATGAGCTGCTGGTGCGTCCACTGCCAGGCTGCCCAAATGCGAGCATCGTCATCCGCAAGGAATTCGCAAAGCTGAAAAACAATCCGGTCAGGGTCAACACTCCCAACAGGATGCCAATCCTGGACGATGGCATCGGCTGCTTGGAAAACCTCGTTCACAACATCATCGTCAATCTGGGAAGGCAAACCTTCAGCCTCCCATGCAGTCTGTAGTTGGCAAAGCGCGGCTTCTCGCGAAGGACAACCCTTCACAGCAACCGTTGCAACTGGTGAGGAAGGAAGGCGTGTAAACCCTCTGAGGTCTTCTGGAATTTCAATGGCAAGAGCTTCATTCAATGGAGCATACTGCCATGTAAGCTGTTCGTGACATCCATTGCGATGTGACCGCGAAAGTCGCAGATGTTGTTGCAAGCGAGCGGAGGACCAGAAGCAACGTTGACATGCGAGGCAAGTGTCAGAATAAACAAACCGTCTTTCGTCAGAGATGATTTGATGAGCAATCCACTGATGTACTCTCAATTTCTGAACATTGTCAAATGACTTGGAACACCAGTCGCAATGCAACTCAACTGATCCAACAACTTGTTCGCTATGAGCGGCTTTGCCAAAAAGGACGCCTCCTTCACTCAAAGTGCTCTGCAAACGGTGATGCAAGGAATGGGCTTCCCCAACCACATGCAACTGAAAAACAGAGCGTTTGAAAAGACGACGGACACGTCCAGGCCCACGTTCAGAGTTCTGCTGCAACCATGTGGCAATTTGCTCGACTGTGCAAGTGTTGGGATTCCAGGAAAAAAATTCTGCATCGACACTGTGCAACCAGTCAAAGGCTCGGCGCAAAGCAACAAACCAGCCCTGAGAGTGAGTGGCATTCGCAGTGAAAAAATCCACCAGCAATTGGGGTCCATCCTGAATGCAATGAAATGCATACAAAAGCCGAGCTTTGGCCAAGCGCAAGGCTAAAGGAGGAAGCTTCCAATGGCATTGGAGCTCAAAATCTGTCTGTTGATTGTCGGTCCAGAAGCCGTTATTGATAATGGATCGTTGCCAGTTCATAATGACTGCATGAATCTGATTGAACAATCTGGTTGATAAAAGTCCCCAGTTTCCTGCTCCATGCAAAATAATGGGAATGATGAGAGATTCAAACAGTTTCAAACGAGCTTCAATGGGAACATTGCGGTTCCTGAGAATACTCTTGGCAACTTGTCGGTGTGCTTGGATAGCTCTGGATCGTCTGTGGGTGATCTCATGCTTAAGGGATCCGTCAGCTGAAAATTGTGTCCCAAGATGTTCGTAGATTGCAACACATTTCAGCGGTGCATCCCTGGAAGGCAGAGTGATGTGTCCCAAACGCTCCACAAACAATGCATGTCGAAGCTCTGAAGCGCCTTCACCACGAAAATCCACAACGACTTCTGTTTTTTGCCGCTTGAAGTTCAAGGTCATGCCAGCAGCTAAAAACGCATCAACAGCCGCTAGAGTAACTTGTTGAATAGTAGGTTCAAGAAGGCGGCCTTCTGTGACAACAATGGGTACGGCAACGTCGTCAACCCAGGTCACCGGTGGGGCAGGAAGCCCAAGGTGACAGAGGCCTTTCTGCAAGGCAGGGATATTTTGAAGGAGTTCTTGAAATTTGGTGAGGACCTTCACCATCATCGCGTTGAACGCAATGTCTGCGAGAGGACTGCCCAGCCGACTTCCTCGTGAAGTTTCAAATGATGAGGTGGTCCCAGGGATGCAAAACCAAGTCGAATGATGGGCATCCTTGATCAACCGCTGTTCATGAACAGGAACCTGCTGCAAGAAAGCTTGAGAGGCCTTGGAGATTTCTTGTTGCAGTTGGGAGGGATCACACCCAGCATCTTCAAGAAGGCGAAGAAGGTGGGCAGGTAAGTCAACGTCATCACCAAAGAGCAACTGACGAATCATGCTGTGAAAAGCGCTCTTCACATCCAGAAACAGCACACCAAAAGAAAGCTGCAGAATTTGAGCACGAAGGTGAACTTCTTTCAAATAATGCGTAGCGAAAAGCGTGGTGCACTTGGGGAAGCCTCCCAACTGCAGTGGATGCCGCCACCGCAGGACGTACGGGAGAAACCTTTGTCTCATGATGGCGTGCATGACTTTTCCTATCACGTCAATGAGCATGATACCTCTCATGTGAGAGACGTCACGACTGAATGCTTTCTTTGAAATTGAGAAGAGCCTGCCGCCCTTAAACTGAACAGGCTCGTGTCCTGTAAGCCACATCTTTAAGGCAAGCTGAAAGATGGGTTCAGCTGCATCAGCCCCTTGTTGTTTCAAAAACTGCGGTGAAAGACCATCAATACCTGGCGCACGATAAGGAGTAAGTCGTTGCAATCGGTTCTCAACGTCAATGCGACTTGGCAATTGTTCGAGAGAGAGTTGCAGCGGCTGATCGTGAGCTTGAAGCAGCTGGTGGGCATGGCATTTCTTGAGCAAATCCTCATATGAGAGTTCACTTCCGCCTTCAAGGGTGCAATAGTGAGCAATTTGCTGCTCCGGCGTTGGTCCTTGACACCTGAGGTTGTTGCGCCTGCGGTTGCGCCATTTGGGAAGCACTGGACGGATCGCGTCCCAAATGCGGCAAAACCCTGTGCGGGCAACCCTTCCTGTTTCTTCTGCAAGATCAGTGTAAAACGTGGTGTCATCTCGTCTGACGGCAACTCCAACTTGCAACGAGAGTGAATGATACTTCATCTCAGCAAAAGCAACTTTGAAGTTGATGTCCTTCAGCTCATGACAAGGCATGACACAGGGATCATAGGCTGAGCGCCATTGCTGAAACAAGATGCGAAGCCAAGTTTGTCGATGTGTTTGGCGATGATCCCGAAGCCGACGGAAGGCAATCTTCTTTCGTCGGATAAGCTCGACGGTCTCAGCAGTGAGATGCTTCTTCCGCAAGGTGCTCACCTTGTCTGGCATCGTAGACAACAGCCGATGCTGTAAAAGAGCTGCATGGGTGTGCACGTCATGGCTCCAGCATGGATTCTGCACGTCCAAGTTGCCAGCAGAGAACTCAGGCTTTGCCGCATTGTGGCGCAAAGTGATCCAGATATCAGCGCAAACACACTCGTGGTCAGGTCGAGCAATGGAGAGGTCGATACGGTCGTCAATCCAAGTGCTGGTGTGGCAAACAGGAATGTTATTGGAAACTCCAATGAAGTCAATTCTGCCGGAGCCATGTACTGCATGCTGCCAGGTGTGATGAGATCCATGATGAGCCTCAGCGAACGTTTGGGGGAGAAAGATATTGTGTCGAAGCAACCATTCGTGGAAGAGAGCGCCACGCATTGATTCCGACTCCGCACCAAACGATCCAACCAGGCTAGATGTGACTGAGCCAATTCGACTATTGGCGTCACATAGAAGGACACAATCCCAAGACGATAACCCATTAGGCAGAATTTGAGACGTTTGCAACCACCAGTGGCGCACGAAGTCAGCCTCATCAACACAAGGAGCATGAAGGACAAGGACAACGATGTGCAATTGCGGATGAGCAATCTTGACAATCAACCGGCGATCATCGCCATGGATAAGTCGCAGGTGATCTGTAGAGAGCTGGATCTTGTCAGTGCCAATCATAATGG